TACATGTCTTCTCCAGTTTCTTTGAAATAACCCTCTTCATTATTTCTTATAGCACAGTAGTAGTGCACCATATTCATATACCATAACTTGTTCACCCTTCCCCAAACAATGAGCAACTCCTCCCCCCACTCAGTTTCCAATTCTTTGCCATCACAAAAAGAGCTACTATAAATATGTTGGGTACATCTCTTTTTTGATCTCTTTGGAATATGGATGAAAGGGTATGCACCATTTAATAACTTTTTGGACGTAGTATCAAATTGTTTTCTACAATGGCTAGAGAAAATTATAGCACCACCAACAGTACATTGGTGTCTCTACATCCCCTCCAGCATTTGTCATTTTCCTTTTCTGTCATATTAGTAGCCTGTCTGATAGGTGTAAGGTACAACCTCAAAGTTGTTTTAATTTGAATTTCTCTAATTATTAGTGATTTGGAGCTTTTTTTTCACATGGCTATTTAAAGACTGGATTTCTTTCTCTGAAAACTGCCTGTTCATATCCTTTGGCCATTTGTCAGCTGGGCAATGACTCTTATTCTTGTGAATTTGAAATAGTTCCCTATATCTTTTAAAAAATTAGATCCTTATGAGAGAAACTTGTTGGAAAGTTGTTGCTGTTGTTGTTGTTGTTTTGCATTTGCCTGCTTCCCTTCTAATTTTATCTGAATTGGTTTTGTTTGTGCTAAAAAAAATTTAATTTTCTATAATCAAAATTATCTATTTTATATTTAGTAATCCACTCTTTCTCTTGCTTGGCCATGACTCTTCTCCTTTCCATAGATAGGACAGGTATTTCTTTCTTGCTCCTCTCATTTTTTATATCACCTTTTATATATAAATCATATAACCTTTTGGACCTTATTTTGGTATAATGTGAGATGTTGGTGTACAAATAGTATATTCCAGATTATTTTCCAGTTTTCCCAAAAGATTTTGTGGAATAATGAATTCTTGCCCCAGTAGCTGGGATCTTTGGCATTATCAAACACTCAGCTACTGTACATATTTGTTTCCATGTATTGTATACCTAATATGTTCCAGTGATCAACATATTTCTTAACCAGTACCAAATTGTTGTGATAATTACTACTTTATTGGATAGTTTGAGATTTGATAATGCCAGACTCCTTTCCTTCTTAGTTTTCTTAATAATTCCCTTGAGATTCTTGATCTTCTGTTCTTCCAGGTGAATTTTTAAAATTATTTTTTTCTAACTGTAAAATAGTTTGATTAGTTTAGTCAAGGTAGCTATTGTCTATAGACCCCTAGACACTCACCTTCCATCCTCAATGGATTAAATGCCTGGCTCACAATCTTTCTCTCCTCCCCAACTCCAAGCAATTTCAAAATACTTATATAATGATACTCCATCAAACACCCTAATCTCCCAATTACTTAGCTTACTCATTTCCCATGATCTACTCCTCCACTCCACTCCAGTCATACACAAAGATACCCTTGATCTTGCCATTACTCACAAATGCATCACTTCCTTTTTTGTGAACTTTCATATTCCTTTATCTGTTCACAATCTACTGGCATTCTATCTTTCCCTCTACCTTTCAACAGGAAACTCTGTACTTGATCCAGACCATGACCTTCAATCCCTCAACCCCTCAGTTCCCTCCCAGGCTATCACCCCTATATTAGCTACATTCTTCCCCATTCTCCATCTTGATCCTTTAGTGAACCAGTTCAGGTCTACATTATCTTCTTCTCTTGAGTCCCTGACCCTTTTGTATCGCTGGTCTTGCCCTGCTAAGCCTGAGCCTTGGATTTCTCCCATCATCCATTGTCTTCCTCCCATCATCCATTGTCTTCCCTCTTAAGCATGTGCTACTGAATAAAGATGGAGAAACTCATGCAACTATGCTAACTGGGTCCACTACAAATTATGTTATATAACCTCAACTGGACCCTCAGTGCTTTTATACCCCCTAAATAACTCACTGTCCCACTTCACTACAGCAACTCTTCTAAACTTTTCCATCCCTCCTCAAACTTCCCCTGGCTCCCTCTCAATTGAAACCTTGCCTCATATATTACTGAAAAAAATTGATCCTATTCACTAAGAGCTCCCTCTTCTCCCTTCCTCCTCTCACATCATATAGATGTCTTCTATCATTATTTTTTTCTCCACCCCTGTTTCACTTGATAAAGTGACCCAAATGGAAAAGCTAACCTCTCTACATGCACACATGATGCCAGTTCATCCAGTATTCTCCAGCAGATTGCCCCTTCTATCATCCTTACTCTCACTTACCTTTCATATCTTCCTGTCCACTGGTTGCTTCCCTGCTACCTACAAACATGCCCAGGAAGGAATGAAATCTCTCTTCAAATGACAAAGCAGTTATCAATGCAGTGAATTCTTTTTTTTTAATCAAGTTGGTTCTTTGATGTCGTTAAGAGGGGAAAAAAAACCCCACAAAGTCTGTAATTGCTATCTTGACACCCTCAGTTAACTAGTCAATTCTAATCTCTTCTGACATAAAGAAAACTAATTTCTGTCCCAGATTTGTCCGTTTGTTTTCATTTCCACAGCTATCATCATATTATTTCAAACCCTCAATATATCTTATCTGAACTAGTCAGTTATTCACTTAGCATTTATTAAGTTCCTACTATGTGCCAGGCAGTAAACCAAGCCTTATCACTACTGAAGTAAGATACAGCATTTGTCATGCCATTCCCTCGCCTGAACATGGTCAGTGACTCCATATTTTATTATGAACAAAGTCTGATTTCCTAAGCCTTTCAGGATCCCCATAATCTGGATTCAACCAGCCTTACTTACACATGTCCACTAGTCTTTCCACTTTGTAATACTGAGTTGTTGTTACTATAACAATTAGAGAGGTATCTAAATCACTAGAATCTTCTAACAAAGCTTGGCACATAGGAAGCACTTAATAAATGTTCTTCAATCATTCAATTATTTATTCATGACCACTTGTCAGGTATATTGTAAAGAGAATTCTTGGCCAGGTATAGGTTAGACCAGATGACCCTTGAAGTCACTTCCAATTCTGGGATTCTGGGATTAAATCTCCTTTTCCTGATCTTTCCTGCCACAGGTTAAAAAAAAATATCTGTTAAGATTACTGAAACTTTAGATGCTGAAAGGCCTACAATTAAGTCATCTAGTCTAATCCTCTCATGTTGCTGATAAGAAAGCTAAGACAGAGAGGTTGTTGCTTTCCCAAAGTAGCAAAGCTTGTTACTTTTAGAGCTTAATCTAAAATCCAGGTCTCCTGACTCTTAATTCACTATTCTTTAAAAGTTCTGGTTCTACAACACATACAAGTGTGCAACTTTTAGAGTTTCTTGTTTTGCAATGACGGCTTTAAAAAATCTGAGCTAAAGTTCTTTTAGATGTTGAAATGAAAGTAATATTATCTGAGAATTGTTTTGATGAAATTAGTTCACAGGACCATAAATTAGAGCTTCTAGGGGCCTTAAAATTTGGTTCTAAAATGTTTCACTTTTTAGTCAGTCAGTCAAGAATTTATTATGTTTTTACTGTGTGCCAGGCATTATGGCTGACTGAAAACACAGACAAAAGCAAAAACAATATCCCTCCCCTCAAGGAGCTCACATTCTAATAGGGGGAGCAACATATAAATAACTATGTACATACAAGATACATAATGATTAAATAAAAGGTAATCTCAGAGGGAAGACACTAGCAGTTGGTTTAATATCAAGAATTTGAAGTGGGCTAGTTTTGTATGATACTGTGAATTTTTTCTAACATTACTTTGTAGCCCAGAAACAGAAACAGAGAAAAATATAATCCCAGGTTGAGGGATTAGTCTTATAGGTGAGAGAGAAAAGGAGTTGAGAGTATTTGGGTAGTACTAAAATAGCTATCCATGACTGCATGGAAGATTGTAAACTGGGTAAGGAGTTGGAGTGCATCCAGAAGTATATGCAGAAGCAGTCATATAGACTGGATGAAATAGTCTTCTGTTTCCATTTTGGGAGTGAAGCTCATGGTGAGCATGAAGAACATATAGGGTAAATCAAAGAACCTGGATGAAATGACAACTTAATTGATTATGACTAGAGATTAGAAACACCAATTTTAAGATTCCAGAGGGAGAACAATGCTATATTACAATAGTCCATGGTGGGACAATGCTGATAAATCTGATCAGTTACAATAACATGATGCCAGGGTGCATCATGATGTCACAGATGGTTGTATTGCTGTCATATTACCCCTTTCTAGCTTCTGCAGGCAAAAATGTCAAGTCATAGTCTTGATGCTGTTCTTGATAGCAGTGGAGTCAAATATCTTAGGGATACAGACCGTATTTTTCCAATTCCAATAACAAATTTTCTTTAATAATAATAGTAATAGCTAGCATTTTTATAGTGCTTTAAAGTATGTAAAGCACTTTATATTTGTTAACTGATTTGATCCTCACAACAACCCTAAGAGGTAAGCACTATTATTATCCCCATTTTACAGATGAGGAAACTGAGTCTGAAAGAGGTTAAGTGATTTGCCCAAAGTCCATCACCTAGTAAATGTATGAGGCAGGATTCAAACTCATTATGTACTGGGCTACCTCCTGATATCCTGATTAGTATTTCTAATTGCTCTTACTACAGGATGTTGGAAGTCGACATGCCAATTATTCATTAATTTTGGAAACAAAAGCAAATATTTATTAAGTATTTACTATATATAAGACATTGTAGGAGGCATTGGTGATACCATGACAAAAACAAGAGTTCTAGTCCTAGAAGAGCTCCTAGAGGCAAAGCATTGTCTCATTTACATTTTGAAAGCATAAGATAGATCATTCTTGATTGCAGATAAAATTCATTCACAATGTCTACAGTAGGAAGCTCCTTTAATACAATTTGATTTGGGCTTTGGAGCAATAGTTCTGAGTATGGAAAATAGTCTTTTAAATGTAGATCCTCTTAGGCTTACCTGTACTTGTTTTAACTTAATTTTAAAATAACTATTTTCTTTTCTTTTAGAAAAGTGACAATGATGAGATGGCAGAAAAAGTGTCCATTCGAAAGCAGCGCTTCATGCAGTTTTCTTCACTGGAATATGAAGGAGAATATTATATGACACCCAGAGACTTCTTATATTCAGTAATGTTTGATCAAATAGAGCGTAAGTTGATTTTTTTTCTAATGGTCTTTAAATACACAAAAACTCAAAAAAATTAAGAATGATAAAGCTTAGCTAGGCCATTAATGTGTTCTTCATTTGAAATGATGTAGCTGGACTACCAAATGTCAAATATACTGTAGGAGGGATTCCATTTTCCATAAGACTTCTGAGACTCCTTTCTGCAGTGACTTTTTAATGGCTGAGATAATAAGTTCTGTGATGCTGACTGAAGTCAGACCAGTTTGGTAGGTAGAAAGGGAGTAAGAGCTAAGAACTTCCTACACAGGTAAGGGTCAGAACTACAATGCAAACAAGCTTAAGTCAAGAACTAGATGGATCAGCTGAGGAAATGAAAGGTCCCAATGAATTAGGCAGTGTCTAAAATGGAAGTAAGATCAAAATCAAGAATTATAAATAAGCTAACAAAAGATTAATGAAGTCAGAGTTCCAGATTGAGATGACAGTTGTCCATTATCCAGAAAGTATATTTGTTTAACTCAATCTATGACCTATGAATTTTTTTTATTCCTGACTGAGCTGCTACCCGCTTCTTCCCTTTTACATTGCTACTACCTGGATGAAAGCCCTGATCACCTCATGCCTAGACTATTGCAAAAGCTTGCTGATTAGTCTCCCTGTGTAAAATCTCTCCCCACTGCATTTCATCCTTCACTCAGCTGTCAAATCGATCTTCAAGTGTAGGTTTCACCATGTCACACACAGTCTTCCCCTAACCCCAACCCTCCCCCTCACACCGCCCTCATTTAGTAAACTCCAGCAGTTCTCTAACACCTTCAGGATTAAATATAAAATCTCCTGCTTGAAGCCCTTCATAACCTGGGCCCTACCTACCCCTTCCAGTCTTTTTACACCTGATTTCCCTCCATGAATCCTCTGAGATCCAATGACACTGGCCTCCTTGCTGTTCTTTGCACAGGTCATGCCATCTCTGGAATCCAAGAATTTTTATTAACTGTTCCCCATGCCTGGAACTCTTTCCCTCCTCATCTCCTCCTCCTGGCCATCTTGGCTTCCTTCAAACCTCACCTAAAGTCCCACCTCTTGCAAGAAGCCTTTCCCAGATCTCCTTAATCTTAATGCCTTCCCTCTGAGATTATCTACAATTTATCCTGAATATAAAGGGTATCCTAAAAGTCTTAGTGCAGTTTTATGCTATTAAAACTTAAACGCTTAAAACTATTTAAGCTTAAAACTGCACAAGACTTTGGGGAAACCTTGTATATTGTTTGTATACAGATGTTTGCATGCTATCTCCCACTTCTTCTTGAGAATAGGGACTGGGGTTTTTTGTTTGTTTTGTTTTTTACCTTTCTTTGGATCCCTAGCACTGAGGACAGTGCCTGGCTCATTGGTACTTAATAAATTTGTATTGATTCCTTCTACCCACCCACCTCCCAATCAATTTCTTCCAAAGTCACTGATTCACAGAATCACAGAATTAGAAGCTCTCTCAGAGGCACTATAGTACAGCCTCTACTTGAATAAGATCTGCTCCACAACATACACAATAAGTGGTCATCCAGCCTTCCATTATGGAGGGAGTTGCTACCTCTCAAGGCAGCTTATTTCACTTTTTGGATAGCTCTAATTGTCTGATTTTTCCTTATGTTGAGACTGTGACTTCCATCAGCTGCTCCAAGTCCTTTCTTCTGTGGGCATGCAGGACAAATCTAATCCCTCATCCATAGTAATATTTCAGTCATGTTGTAAAAAAGAATTAGAACCAATAGTAGGAACCACGAGAGAGAAGACAAAACAAAAGAAAAAAAAGAGCAAATAGTATGCGTTGATGCAAATAGATATCAGGTTCTCTATAAGTATTGTACTCCAAACTAAATATTGCCAGTTCTTTCAAATGTCCATCTTTGCATGGTGTCTAAGCCCCTCTTCATCTGGTTGTACTATTTTAGATGCCTTGACACTTGTCAGTTTCCTTCTTAAAACCTGTTACCCAGAAATTCTTTTAGCCCAGAGAATTATTATTGCCACCTCCATTTTTTCCATGGCAAAAGTTGCAGTTTTGTGATTCTGCCATTATTCTTTGTGCTGTTTTTCATGTTTTCTTTCATTGTGGCTTTGTAATTAGATTAATTTTCTATGTAAGTTATCCTCATGCAGCGTGCAAGGGAGTTTCTGATATTACGACAGCATTGAAATGGTTGGACAACAACCTTAATTGACTAGATGAAATAGGAAGAGTGAAACAATGTGTTACTTGATAATATGGAGAAAAAAATACACAAATAAATTTTAAAATGCTTTACTTACAATAGTTATATTTTAACATCATTTACTAGAAAAAAAAAAGTCCATAAGGAGAACTGTACTGTTGCAACATTTTTATTCAAAATGGAGTAAAATAGTCACAATCTAATAGGTAATGAGATGGGTAACTTGAACTTCCTGGAAAATATGAGACCCCAAGATTTTAAATACTTCAATATATGAGTTTTTTCTACAGGTATATATAACCAACACCTGATTATTTAGTATAGGAGAAAGGCATAGTTTGTGTTATCCAAACCACATGTAATCAACAGAATATGCAAATTAGGTACCAGTTCATAACCTTTCTAAACATTTTTATTTAAGCTGCAAGTTTGACTGCATACACTTATGTAGATTGATCTCTACTGTGTCATAGCAGCACTTACTTGAACTTCTAAAGTTATAATGGATCAGTACTCTCACTGATGGAGATACTGCCTCTAGTGTTATAGAGAGATCATGGATCACTATATTTGTCATCCTTCAATGATTCTTGTTCTTATTCTCCCATAAATCCTCCACAGGATTCCATCCAACACACTGAGGGCCTTCTTCTAGATCTTGACTTTGTGTTAATACTAATATAACATGTGAGTTTTCTTTCTATCCATTGTCCCTCATTTTTGCTATAGAATTAAACCATCTTTTTTTTTCTCTGATACATTTTTCTGACATCCTTTAGACCACTAAGTTTGCCTCTTAGTTAATTCAGATTAGTTCTGCAAATTGGGCTTTTCTCATACTATATAGCTGAAGCAGAGAATTTGTGTTGGAAACTATTTTTTAATTAAACATTTATTTATTAATTTTTAATTTTCAACATTCACTTCCGTAAGATTTTAAGTTTCAAATTTTCTTCCCCTTCTTCTCCTCCTCCCTCCCCAAGATGGCATGCAGTCTGATATATGTTCTACTTATGCATTCATATTAAGCATATTTTCACATGATGTAAAGAAGTCGTGATGTAAAGAAGAATTAGAATCAATGAGAGGAACCACGAGAAAGAATCAAAACAAAACAACAAAAGAAAAGGAAAGCAAATAGTATGCTTCCCTCTGCATTCAGATTCCATAGTTCTTTTTTTTTTCAATATTAATTTATTTTCAGTTTTCAATATTCACTTCCATAAGCTTTTGAGTTTTAAATTTTCTCCCCTTCCCCAAGATGGCGCACAATCTGATATAGGCTCTACATATGCATTCCTATTAAACATATTTTCACATTAGTCCTGTTGTAAAAAAGAATTAGAACCAATAGGAGGAACCACGAGAGAGAAGAAACAAAACAAAAGAAAAAAAGAGCAAATAGTATGCGTTGATCTGCAATCAAACTCCGTAGTTCTTTCTCTGGATATGGACAACATTTTCCATCATGAAACTTTTGGAGATGTCTCAGATCCTTGCATTGCTGAGAAGAGCTATGTCTATCAAAGTCAGTAATCCCACAGTGTAGCTGTTACTGTATACAGTGTTCTGCTTCTGCTCACTTCACTCAGCATCAGTTCATATAAGTCTTTCCAAGTTTTTCTGAAGTCTGCCTGCTCATCATTTCTTATAATACAATAGTATTCCACTACGTTTATATACCACAGCTTGTTCAGCCATTCCCCAGTTGATGGGCATCCCTTCAATTTCCAATTCTTGACCACCACAAAAAGAGCTGCTATAAATATTTTTGGACATGTGGGTCTTTTTCCCATTTTTATGATCTCTTTGGGATACAGATTTAGAAGTGGTATTGCTGGGTCAAAGGGTATGCACAGTTTTATAGTCCTTTAGGCATAGTTCCAAATTGCTCCCCAGAATAGTTGGATCAGTTCATAACTCCACAAACAATGCATTAATGTTCCAATTTTCCCACATCTTCTCCAACATTTATCATTTTCCTGTTTTGTCATGTTAGCCAATCTGATAGGTGTGATGTGGTACCTCAGAGTCATTTTGATTTGCATTTCTCTAATCAATAGTGATTTAGAGCATTTTTTCATATGACTATAGATATTTTTAATTTCTTCCCCTGAAAACTGCTTGTTCATATCCCTTGACCATTTATCAATTGGGGAATGACTTGTATTCTTATAAATTCAACTTAGTTCTCCATATATTTTAGAAAAGAGGCCTTTATCAGAGACACTGGTTGTAAAAATTGTTTCCCAGCTTTCTGCATCCCTTCTAATCTTGGTTGCATTAGCTTTGTCTGTACAAAAGCTTTTCAATTTAATGTAATCAAAGTCACCCATTTTGCATTTCATAATGTTCTCCATCTCTTGTCTGGCCATAAATTCTTCCCTTCTTCATAGATCTCATAGGTAAACTATTCCTTGCTCTCCTAGTTTGCGTATAGTATCTGTCTTTATATCTAAATCATGTAGCCATTTTGATTTTATTGTGGTCTAAGGTATAAGATGTTGGTCTATGCCTAGTTTCTACCATTCTATTTTCCAGTTTTCCCAGCAGATTTTGTTAAATAGTGAGTTCTTATCCCAGCAGCTGGAGTCTTTGAATTTATCAAATAGTAGATTATTACAGTCATTGACTGTTGTGTCTTGCATACCTAGCCTATTCCACTGATCCACCACCCTATTTCTTAGCCAGTACAAAGTAGTTTTGATGATTGCTGCTTTATAATACAATTTAAGATTTGGTGCAGCTACATCACTTTCCCTTGCATTTCTTTTCATTAGTTCACTTGATCTTCTGGACCTTTTGTTT